TCGTTCCCGACTCACATCATAACTATGCACGCTCAAGCAAACCCGAAAGTAGAGCACCCTAGGTAGTCGTAGCAATATAATAGTAGTAGTAGTAGTAGTAGTAGCAGCAGCAGCAGCAGCAGCAGCAGTAGGAGGAGGAGGAGGAGCAGTAACCAGAAGTAGCATCGGGCATCGGTACAATCATCGTTTTCCCACGAGAAACTACAAGAATATGCCAGTGTATGTCTTGGCACAATTTTGGTCGTGGTGGAATCTGCCGTCATTGCTAAATTACGGTGTTTTGGGGTTGAAGTGTTTTATCTTTCAGGCCTGGAGCATTCGGATGTTCAATCTTAGCGACATCTCGGATTCCAAACCCTAAACGCGCCCACTACAGCCACAGGTTGCTCTACTCAGCAACGAATCGTGGACGACTGTGTTACGTTCATCTCTACCCCAAAGGAACCAGCCGATAATGTCTGTGGATGCTTCTCTCTCGGGACCTCAAAAGGAGCCAAGCTTCGCTCAGCATGAGGTCAATCGTCACCAGGGAGCCCGTGTCCCGATGGTGATGGTCGGCGAGACCTGAGGTTGGTCCATTGCTAGGGTGGCTCCAATCAGCAAAGCGAAACACAGAGGCAGACGGAGGGATAGAAACAGTAGAGAAGAAACCGAAATGACAACTGAGAAGGAGAGGGAAGCAGAGAAGAAATGACAACTGAGAAGGAGAAGGAAGCAGAGAAAGAACGAAGGAAAGCAAGAGGAAAAAGAAGAAAGGAAGGAAGAAAGCAAGAGGAAGGGGAGGCAAAGCTCCGCCTCCGCCATTCAGGTACTCGTGGTGCTCAATGCACCTCAGGTTGCCCAACCCTGCACCCCTAAAGAAGCCTCGCAGAGCCCTGGTAGATTCAAAACAAGGCGTTAACAACCCTTCTAATGCCCTAAGCCGTTATAGAAAAACCCTTTTTGAAGCCCTCATAGCGGTAAAGCCCCTTAGTGTCTAGGGTGTAGGGTTTGCAAAACCCCCCCAAGCTCAAACCCTGAGATGGAGCACCTCAGGTTGCCCTCTTCCACCGGCATGGACCAGCGCTCCTCGGAGTTCACTTGGGCGGCCAGCGCGCGGATCCTGAAGGCAAGATTCGGGTCTCAAGGAGTGGGGTTTTAGGGCTCAGGGCGTAGGGATTTTAAGCCCCAAGCCCAGGCCCCAAAAAAGAGCCCCCAAAACCAAAGCAAAAACGTCAGAATCTCATCTCTCCCTCCTTTCTGTCCCCCCCCCTCTGCCGCTCCTGCGGACCAGCTCCGGCTCCCTTTTCTGGAACTCGCCATTCGTGTGCAAGAAGGTGGTGGTCCACCTCGACAACAGCCCCTTGCGGCAGGGCTTTAAGAAGCTGAACGGAGCAGGGCTTAGGAATAAAAACTGAAGAAGCCGGGGCTAGAGGCTTAGAGAACCCCACAGCCCCAACATAACGACCCCAAAACCTTCAAAGCCCAAAAGACCTCAGCGATCTAGGTCCTAAACCCTTTAAAACCACCCAAAAACTGCAGGCTTTCCCGGAAAACCTCCACAGTTTAGGTTGTTAGGATGTTCCAAAAAAGGCCCTAAATAAACTTTTCGGCTTTGGGCGAGGCCACGATGCGCCCACCGTGGACCGGAGTTCGCCTCGTCTCGTTTTGGCCTGAAGACCACAAACGGCTCCTCAGAACGGGTTTAGGGTTGAGGGTTTAGGGTTTAGGGTTGAGGTTTTAGGGTCCACTTCAAACTCCCGAAAAAAAAAAACCTACGGTTACATGCTACAAAGCACAAAAACCCTGAAGCAAAGCCCCAAGCCCTGGCCCTAGAGACCCATAGCCCTTAAGCCCTCATCCCCGAACCTCGAACCCTCACCTACGCTGTAGTCCGCGCCCTTCATCCAACGGCTCTCCGAGTCGCGCATCTCCAGAACTACTCGCTCCAGGTGCTGCACCTTGCTACGGCGAAAGGGCGGGGCCAAGGGAGATAAGAAGCCTCTTGGGGCTTATTACGTATAGGGTTTAGGGTCCTTGGGCAGTTTGGGTTTGGGGCTGGGCCCACGCTTAGGGTTCCCTAAAGTTCTTCTCACCCAGGACTCTTCGGCCCCTCAGAGAGGACGGGTCGTGCCAGAACTCCAAGAGCTCCAGGCTTCAGCAGGTTTTCCGAGGTCTCCTCCCGTCAACCCTCTTGGGGGCTTCTATCCCAAATTTCCCAAAGTCGGGGCCAAATTAAAAAAGTCCCAAATTTCCGACACCCCTCCTCCTGGACCGAAGCGGAAGTCTAGCTGCTGGAGGCGACAGTTGACCCGTGTCCTGAACCATACGTTCTATCCCGCAAAGCCTGGGTAACGACGACTCCCGCTGAAAGCCTTTCTACACCCGCGCCTATAAAGAAGCCCGAAATCCTAAACCCTATAATACCTAAACCCTTAACCCTAAACCCTTAACCCTAAACCCTTAACCCCCAAAACCCCCTGAGCCCTCGAACCCCCAAAGCCCGATTGGTTCCACCTCCTCCTCGGAGAGGAAGTTGGGAATGCGCCGCGCCCTCGCTGCTTGGGCCTGCGGCTCGAACCTATAGAGACTCCAATATCCCTTAATTAAGGAATATGCCTTAAATCATATTAGGGATCCTACTATAACTTAAGGAATATTCCTTAATTGAGGGATATTGGAGTCTCTGGAAAAGGGCCTCCTGGGTTTCGGGCCTTGGGCTTCAGGATTTCGGCTTGAGGCCTTAGGCTTTAGGGCTTTTAGAGTTTAGGGTTTAGGGCTTAGGGTTTATAGGGCTTATAGGGTTTAGGGTTTAGGTTTTAGGCTTTAGGAACTCGGGGTTTAGGGATGTTTAGGGTTCAGCGTCACGCGCTCTTCCTCCGCTCGAGGCTTTAGGGCTTTGGGGGTTCGGGGCAGGAAGACTGCATACTCAGCCCGGAAGGGTCGGGACTTCAACAACGCGACGCAATCCACTTGATCAGTGTCCTTCGTCGAGTCATTGCTCTATTGACTCCACAGTGAACTCCCGAAACAGGCAACCTTGTAGTTTCGGGCTCATTCGTGCTGAGAATTCTTGTGCCTGGCCTTTACGCGAGGACAATCGGAGGAGAATGCTACTTAAGTCTGCTCCAGGCTTCTTGCTTCTACTCAGAACTCCGGTTGATGATGTAAATCCTGCATTACCCACAATAAGGAATATACCATAATTCCCATAGTTTAGGGTCCTTAAGGTAAAGGGTCCTTAAGGTAATGCAGGATTTATATCATCAACAGTCTCATCCCAGACGGTCCACGACCCCGACATTGAAACCTGACCTTCTCGAAGGGCATTGTGCCCCGCCCGATCGCCACGGCAGGAAGCTGCGTAGCAGCCGGGCGCAAAGATACTTCAAACTGGCAGAGCGACGAATTGTAGGTTCCATGGTGCAAAATGTTTTCCTATCTAATGTGAGCATTGAGAAAGGCCTTAGTTAGGGTTCAGGGTTTCGGCTGAGACGGGCCAGAACTGGGATTCAAGGTCGTGATTAGGGTGGTAGGATCCGGCGCTTGGGTTTCGGGTTTTGGGAGCTCAGACGAGCCCTTGCGGCATGTTGGGCTTGCGACGGGGCAACACCTTCAGTATCAGGCTTATGGGCCTTTTTGCTGGCCTCTTCCGAACTGGCAGAGCCAGCATCCCCCAAAGTGAGTTCCTTTTAGTTGAGTTCCTGCAATCATCCCCCCAATCGATTTTCAGGGCAGGGTGTAAGTAGAGCTTAGATTTCGGTTAGCGATCAGGTTTTACGGTGTAGTTTCCACCGGCCCGGGTTCCGAGCTTCGTCCTTCAACAACAACAGTTTCTACAGTGTTGAAGACCAGGATTGTATTGTCTCCGGGGCCGCAGATGTGAGCTCTAAATTAAGCAGCAAGTCTTCAGCCTCGAACCGACACGGGGCTCTGATCTGCATAGCGATGCGACAGCGCAGGGAAAGCCGAAGAAGAAGCACCGCCAAATCCAGCAGAGCCGCCCCAATCCGAGACCCCACAACCTGGAATCCCGAGCCTCCAATCCGAAACCCTCAAAAACTAAACTAGACTAAACCTAGGGTTTAGGGTTTAAGGTTNNGGGTTTAAGGTTTAGGGAACCTCAAAAACTAAGCTAAGCTAAACCTAGGACAATGGGGTATGGGATTTCCCCTTTTTCCGGGTCCTCCTCGAAGCGACTACGCTGCCCTTCCTCCACCATGCCTGGGCCATGGTCTCTCCCTTCGCCCTGAAAGGGGGTTAAGGATTCAGGCTACAGGTTTCGGCACATTTGGGCCTTTAATGTTCGGGGTGTACCTCCCTGTTCTGGTCCCTTCTCACGAAGAGCACCGTCCTAAAGTTGCTTGAAACAGGCGCGGTTCCTGAATCAAGCCACAAGACTCTTGTCACGAGTATCGCCACTTTTCGGCGGGACCCTTGCTTCAGAGTACCCGAACCCCCCCCCCCCCCCCCCACCTATCTCACCCCTGTGGTGGTCTCAGCTCAGACGCCCCCCATCAGCTCGAAGGGATCCCAGTCGCCCTCGCTGGACTGCACCATGGCTCTCTGGGCTCCCCGGAACCACCGGAGAGCCTCTGATAGGATAGGCCGGGTAAAGCAGTCGGGAGGGGGTAGGGTTTAGGATTTAGGGTTTAGGGTTTAGGGTTGAGGGGGTAGGGTCTGGGAGTTTCGGGCTTAGGCTTAGGGTTTCGAGGTGAGGGTCTTGGGGTCCATGCCACTGACAATCTCAGCCGGAACCTGGTCTTTGAGGATTCCCTGGCAACGATGGACATGCCGCTGCCCTGACCGAGATTCGGCCAAAATCACGGTTCTACAAACAAACTGCTGCGGCGGCAACATAAGTTAACTCAGCGAGTAGATCATCAATTTTTTCGTTTGACGTACAGACATATTGAGACAGATAGTCACGTATTTACACGAGGTTGGATATTCGATACTTACAAATTGTGTCATCTGTACCTATGTTACACCTTGGAAATACATGCCGCTGTCCGAAATCAAGCAGCACTAACACTGTAGTCCTCTGGGGTGATGTAGGGCGTAGAGTTTCTCTCCAACAAACCCTGGCCGGATATCCCACACGCCTGGGAGTCTCGCTTGCGAGGAGGTCGCATGCGACCTCAGAGGCACTGGGAGAGCCGATCTTCGCATGGATGCAGTGGCGAAGAGGTGTTTCTGTCACTCTCAGGTCAAGGCCAGAAGCTTCAGCATGCACTTCCTGAAATTGGGCGGTTCGGCCAGGGCACGACGGCAGCATGTCTGATATATCACATGCCTAATGTCTGACGACACGCTTGGTGGTCAGCTGACCGGACGGAACAACACCACAAGACAAAACCGGCACGTCCCGAAGTTGCATGAACAAGTTGAAGACACACTCTCGACATCCCTCGATGGAAAGCGCCAGCATCGAGTCATTCGCATAGTCTGGCGATAGTACAATAATGACGGTGGAGTATAGCAGTATAGCACAAGCAGAGCATACCCAGAGGCTCCTAAGTAGTTCCTTTTTATGCTTCATGTTTAGAATCCGATAAGGTAATCCCAAAAAGGAACTACTAAGGAGCCTATGGGTTCATATTTAGAATCCTATAAGGTAATGCCAAAAAGGAACTACTAAGGAGCCTATGGGTATCCCAAAAAGGAACTACTAAGGAGCCTATGGGTAGTGCACACAATCTCGACGCCGCCCCTCTCGCAAGGCCTCCTCCGCCAGCTCGCCTTTCAATGCTTTAATGTAGGGGCCTCACTAATTTGAATAGGGTTTTGGGGGGGG